ATATTATAATTTTCTGAGACAATGAATTTTGGTTTTTCATTTTTTTTCCCTGTAGGAGGTTTTTATTTAATAGAAATTTTGGACAAAAAAATCGCAATATATTGCCTTGCTTATAGAATTGCAATATATCGGGATATATCGTATCGTGACCCCTCTGTCATGATATGTATCGTATCGCCAAATTCTTGCCAATACACAGCCTTACTATTGACACTAGTTTTGAGCTTCTGGTACCCCCCAGGTGCTGCCAGTCATGTGTCCTCTACAACAAAGCTACACACACAAACCGACTTGCTTTTGTGCTAACTAAGTATATTTTTATATAAATTGTGCAGTCAATATTTAGATATTTGTCTTTGGAACGAACAGGGAAAAAACTGAAATAACTGTTCTTGTTCACAAGTTAATCACTATCTCTCATCAACACCCATAAAGTTAAAAAATCATCACGTTGTTCCAGAACTGCTGTTAATCCAACATTCCCATCATGTTTGGTCTTTGGTCCCTCTGCTCAGCCTGTTTTCCCAGCCTCTACATTTTAAATTTCACCTGGATGACTGATCACGCCAGTGTTGGAACAAGATTTGGGGGTTTGTTGTTTTTAACTCTGCCTTGTGCAGCCCGGCTGTCTTTGTTGTAAAGTCCCTTCAGATTCAACAAGGCCCCCTCTGCCAGGTTTTCAAAGTGGAGCTGCTCATTTGGCCTTCCTTCACTGTGCATTAGCACTTTTGCAGGAAAGTGTTCCCAAGGGTGGGGACTGTAAAGCAATTTACTGCATACTTCACTATATCATTGTCACTGGGCTGAGTTACCTGCTCAATTAAGAATCAGGCTTAATTGCATAGTTTTTTTTAAAACAGCCACTGAAATTTTTATTTCTTGAATTTAATTGGTAATCATTTGCTTAATTGTACACACAATTTTCCGTTAATGACAAAATATATTTTTCTAAATAATTTCTTCCATTTTATTGGTCAATCTAAAGGCTTTTATGCCCTCCCAAGTGCTCCATGGGGAATTACGCCATTTAGCTCTGTCAATAATTTAGGGTATATTCCGTTTATAGTGGAGGCCATTAAGCCACAGTGATGCCTATGTTATGTTATCTTATTATGCAAGTACAGCATGGAGCAGGGTTTGATTTAAAAGGCTTAAAAAGTTGCTTGTCATGTTGAGGTTTTTAAACTTTGGTTTAACGACAAAATTTAATTATTGGATTAGAGTTGCTGTTATTATTAGCATCATTATTGGTTTTATACATTATGTTTGTGGTGTTTCTCTGAAATGTCTAATGCTCTACATCAGTGTTGCAATTAAATAACTGTTGTAATGATGAGTATTACTAAAAATACTGACGTTATTTTCATTTTTGATTCACCAGTTTTGCTGTGACAGCTGTCATTCATGTGGAAAGTGTGGTATTTAAGTGGTAAAAAGTTTTGCAGGTTTGTCAAGCTGTGAGAAAGTGAAACATGAAGTGGCTGAAACAAATTCAGCTGCAGTATTACACAACACAGTGCATTTACATTTTGTTCTTAATGGTTCTGTTAACATGGCTAAAAACAACTCCAGACAAGCAAAATTCTAGATGGATATTTTTTTACAGTGTAATCCTACTTTTTGTGTTCATTTTAAACAAAGTTTTATTTGTGATATGTTAATATGCATCAGGTTTCATCTTTCTTGTTGTTTAAGCTTTCCAAGTGACATCTTTGCCTCTCTCTTCATCTTCCTCTTTTCCATCTAGAATTTCAAGGCTGATCCGGAGGAACTTTTCACCAAGTTGGAGAGGATAGGAAAAGGCTCGTTTGGAGAAGTGTTTAAAGGCATCGACAATCGGACTCAGAAAGTTGTGGCTATTAAAATTATTGATTTGGAGGAGGCCGAGGATGAAATAGAAGACATTCAACAGGAAATCACAGTGCTCAGCCAGTGTGACAGTCCCTTTATCACCAAATATTTTGGTTCCTATTTAAAGGTGAGCTTTACTTTCAGGAAGATTCATTTAATGGTCTACTATCAGTTATAGTGTTCATTCAAGGAAGATGTAAAACAAGCCAAAGTAAATAGGGTTGGGCATAATCGCATCGTGTGCAATTAATCGCCAGAAAAACATTAATTTTTTTTTTGGCACTTGACGATTAATACGATTAATGCCAGCAGGCAGGCTGACTGGAGATTTCTCCTATCAGTCTGCTCGATGCTCTGCTCCGCTTCAAATATGACGAACATAAAAAAAAGTTCTGCAATGTAATTTTGACACAATTTGGAACAGATTTTTACAAAAAACAAATCTTTCCCACTAAATTGGTCAATTGACTAGGACATAAGGGTGTCCAGGGGATTAATCATCAAATTAATCGTTATTGGCTAAATACCACAATTAATCGTGATTATTTTTTTTACTAATATCACCCAACCCTAGTAATGGAGCAAATGTTGCCGTTTTGGTGGCCTTAGGATCGCATCTCTGCTTTTTGCGGATGATGTGGTCCTGTTGGCTTCATCGGAGCGAGATCTGCAGCTCTCACTGGAGCGGTTCGCGGCCGAGTGCGAAGCGGCTGGGATGAAGCTCAGTGCCTCCAAATCCGAGGCCATGGTCTTGAGCCGGAAAAGGGCAGAGTGCCTTCTCCGGGTCAGGGGGGTCGCCCTGTCTCAAGTGGAGGAGTTTAAGTATCTGGGGATCTTGTTCACGAATGGGGGAAGAACGGAGCGGGAGATCGACAGGCGGATTGGCGCAGTGTCTGCTGTAAAGCGGGCACTGTACCGGTCCGTCGTGGTGAAGAGAGAGCTGAGTCAGAAAGCGAAGCTCTCGATTTACCGGTCGATCTACGTTCCTACCCTCATCTATGGTCATGAGCTTTGGGTCATGACCGAAAGAACGAGGTCCCGGATACAAGCGGCCGAAATGGGTTTCCTCCGCAGGGTGGCTGGACTCTCCCTTAGAGATAGGGTGAGAAGCTCGGTCATCCGGGAGGGATTCAGAGTAGAGCCGCTGCTCCTCCACGTCGAGAGGAGCCAGTTGAGGTGGCTCGGGCATCTGGTTAGGATGCCTCCTGGACGCCTCCCTGGTGAGGTATTCCGGGCACGTCCCACCGGGAGGAGGCCCCGAGGAAGACCCAGGACACGCTGGAGGGACTATGTCTCTCGGCTGGCCTGGGAACGCCTTGGAGTTCCCCCGGAGGAGCTGGAAGAAGTGGCTGGGGAGAGGGAGGTCTGGGCCTCCCTTCTGAAGCTGCTGCCCCCGCGACCCGACCCCGGATAGGCGGAAGAAAATGGATGGATGGATGGATGGATGGATGTTGGTGAAATACGGCACAGTTAAATGTGGGAAGAGGTCATAAACTAGTCTGACATTGAGGTTGCAGTGAACTCCTATTTGAGCTGTTACTGGTACAGTTTTATCTGAACAYTGATCTTCAGGTTTGAACATCTGCAGCAAAAAGAACATGAATGAAGCAAATACACCTGATTTTACAACTTAATTAACTGTGTTCATGTTGGTGTTGAGAAAACAAAATCCTTTTACTTTCAACTAAAGTACAAACTTCATTATATTTTTATGATCATTTTAAAACTCCTAAATATCATTAAGGCTGAAATTTGTTCATTTTATTAATTGCTTATTTAGTTTTAGTGTTTTGGTGGTTTTAATATTTTTTTGGTGTATTTGAAAACATTGCAAACTTATTACATATCATCCAAAACAATGAATCCTCTAAAACAAGGAAAGCTTTGGTCACCTGTGCCTTTACACACATTGGTTTTGTGATATGACAGCAAACAAAGTATTTTTTAAACTACCTTTGGTCATTTAACTCACCATCTCTGCACTCTGAATGTATCAGACCAAGTTTTAAAGTGTCGAACACTAATAATGGAGGCTTGAATCATCTGGTTACAAGCCATGATGTATTTTGGAAACATGTAATAAGTCATTTTCGTTGTACTTGAATAGAATAGAAAACAGTTTGAGGCAGAGGGTGTTTTGACTCTCTAACAGCGCCACGTCGGTGTTATAATAAAAAAATCAAGTCAAACTTGTGTTACACACACATTCAAGCTTTTGTTGCTAGAACAGGTATATTGACATAAAATTAAACAATCCAACCCCTTCCCGGGGATTTGTGGTGACATAGACGGATTTAATTGATGTTTTGTCATAACGCTCAGACTACAAGTCAGTGGCAGAGTGACTGAGACATAAATACTGTTGCCTCTGATGTAATCTGATGTTTGGAGRAAGTAGAAATGCTGTAGTGCCTGTTGTATTTTAAGAGATACATTAATGCAGGATTTTAGACGCTCTTGAATTATTCTATTTTTAAATCAACACTTTGTTGTGCTGAGCTGAAGGTAATTAGAATTAAGCATCAAAAAAGCTAATATTTCACATCCCCAAGGTGTTATTTCTTCCCCACACAGTGCACAGTTTCTACCTGGGTAATAAACCAGAGACTTATGCAGGTTTGATCATAAAGACACTGCATTGTAATATGTTTCATGTTTTTTCTTGAACATTATAATTCTCTGTGTGGCCCCAACATAAAACACTAAAATACAACAAGAGCATGACGCACAAACTCTGCAGGAACCAATTGACTAACTTAGTGTTTCTGCCTGTGGCTTTTTCAGAATGAATCATTTCATCAGTCTGTAGAACGGACTAGAATCACCAAAAAATATGGTACAACCATTTTTGCAAAGTAAAACCCTCCATTTGCTGCATCACAAACACATTTAATCATTTAAAAAAATCACATTTTTGTTTTAACCAAGTAAATTTCCAACATATCTGAACTAGAGATCGACCGATACAGGTTTTTGAAGACTGATACCGATTTTTTTAACCATCAGTCTAACCGATACGCCGATACGTGCAGCCGATATTATTTGGCCGATTAATGAAGCCGATACTACTTTTTCTTCCTCCATTAACATGATAAAAATAAGAATGAAAACAAATGTTAAACAAGTCTTAATTTAAAACAAAACAAACAAAAACATTTATTAACTAAGCCTTGTCTGATGCAGGCTGTATTGAGTGCCACCATACAGGATTTCTTCTTTTAAAAAATTTAAAATAAATAAATTCATTATTTATTTTATCTAGTGCTAAATATTCTGTTTTTATTTGTATATTAATCAGATTAATATATTTTTTACATAAAATAAAATGACTATGTTTTAAATCCAAGCATTTTTGATACAAAAACAGCAACAAGCCTAAATAAAACTGTCAGAGCAACACAGAGCAAAAGAAGAGACACATACATCTTGCTAGCTTTCTGAGGACTTCACACACACAGCGCTCACAGCATCTCTGCCTCAGTCTGCTGCTCCCGTTTTTAACACCAGGCAAAAAATGCATTTAAAACAGCTGACGTTAACTTTAGATCACAGTTGGAAATGTACACTGAAGAAAACCAGCATCACGACTGCGGTCACAGCAAACGTGATGTGAGCAGTGTCTGGTTCACATGATGGTGGACGGCTGCGCTCGCTAAAACGTTCAGCGAGAAAAGACCGAAAACTTTTTTATTTTAATCCAGCAGGGAGAACAATAGAGGTGTTTTTCTATGCCTCATGTGAGCAGCTCCAGTATTTTAAAAAAGAAAAACAACACGGACACGCTGATTACAGTGCGGTGCGAAAGTGAAAGTAAAACATGTCGCAGCGCTCCCGCCTGGAAAAGAAACTTAAACACAGCTGTTCTCTCTTCCCTCATATTCTGACACAGAGGGTAGAAACAGTTAAATCAGACAGTTAAAACATATTTATAGTTCATAACTCACCCTTGTTGTTGTTAGCACTCTGTCTCACAACATTTGCTGCTACGCTCTCCCCGGGGGAAGGGGCGGACACATGCGCTCGCGTGACCAAAAGAACAGATCGGYCGAACGGACAGTGTATCGGCCGATACCGATACAAGGAAAAAACGCAAATATCGGCCGTCCAATGTATCGGTCGACCCCTAATCTGAACACATATTTGATATTGAATAAAAGAAATTTAGACTGATTAAAGGCAAAGTTCTTGTGAAATATGGAACAGGAAGCTTTGTGTGTGTCTGGTTCAGTTGTCAGTCTTATAGTTAAAAGCATATTTGAGGTAAAACAAGAAAACCAACTCTTTGTCAAAATGAATCATACATTTTATCAGTCAACAGTACCTCCTCAGCATCTTTATTTTGCTGTGGATAAATGAAGCTCAGTGGTTTTTGTGTTTCATCTCTGTTCCCTTGTTTTTGCATCAGTGCTTTCTTATCTGACTGCAGTTTTATTTCTCAGGGCACAAAACTATGGATCATTATGGAGTATTTGGGTGGAGGATCAGCTCTTGATTTGGTAAGTTACCTGGAATGGGCGACTCATTAGAAACCCCTCATCTTACAGTGTGCTGTTTGATTTGCAGTTCATTATGACAGTTTTGTAATTTTGCTCCAAAATTTCGTGAATTTATTCATCCCTTTTTCTCCAGTTGGAACCAGGACCCCTGGATGAAACCCAGATTGCAACAATCCTGAGGGAGATTCTGAAAGGGCTTGAATATCTTCACTCTGAAAAGAAAATACACAGAGATATCAAAGGTAAATATGATCCACGTCAGCTAAATCTTTGTTTGGACACTAAAATAAGTTAATTGGACAACATGGTTTTGATGCATCGTGGTCTGTTTTAAAGAAATAAGGTATCAAATGTGTTTTCTTTGCTGTTTTAGCTGCCAACGTCCTGCTGTCTGAACAAGGGGACGTGAAGCTGGCAGACTTCGGTGTGGCGGGTCAGTTGACAGACACGCAGATAAAAAGAAACACTTTTGTTGGAACACCTTTCTGGATGGCACCTGAGGTTATAAAGCAATCAGCTTACGACTCAAAGGTCAGCAAGCGTTATCTTATCTTGTCTTTTGWTACAGTCGGACTTCAGTGTTGAAATGCTGCTGTCTTCTTTAGATGAACTAAACATAAACCATAGGGATTAAGAAAATGAGGAAGTGTTGAAATGTCATTTAAGTTCAATATTTCACTGACTTTAGTGTGCTTGCTTTTGTCAGGAAGATTTAAACTTTGTTTTAGGCTGTAAGTGACCCAGTGCGTATTATTGGAACAACCACAGCATGAGTCAACACAGCTGCTCTATCACAATCTTCTATTTGCAGAGCTTCCTCAAATACTCCCATGTTTCTTTAGGCAGACATTTTAAATGTCAGTTCTCTCTGTTTTTCTGGCACTTCTGTGGAAAAGTGTGTGTTTGGGCCATTTTAATAAAATATAAATGTTTTTGTTTTTTTTATTTGTACAGGCAGACGTCTGGTCATTGGGTATAACCGCTATAGAACTTGCTAAAGGAGAGCCACCTCACTCTGATCTTCATCCGATGAAAGTCTTATTCCTCATCCCAAAGAACAACCCACCAACACTGGAAGGAAACTACAGTAAACCACTTAAAGAATTTGTTGAAGCCTGTTTAAACAAGGAGCCCAGCTTTGTAAGTTTGAGCAAAACGCATGAAAACAGAACTAGATKTTCTTATTCCGTCCATTGGGTTGTTCTGGAGTTGGGTTAGGGGGCAGCGACTTGAGCAGGGAGGCGCAGACTTTGGGGAGGATTCCAAGGTGTTCCCAGGCTAGCTGAGAGACAGTGTCTCCAGCAGTGTTGCTACCCACATGAATRTTGATTTTACTAATTATTTCACAAAATAGTTTTGTGTGTTTTTCCGTAGAGGCCAACAGCCAAAGAGTTGTTGAAGCATAAATTCATTGTGAGGCACGCCAAAAAAACGACCTACCTGACTGAGCTCATCGACAGATACAAGAGGTGGAAGTCAGAGCAGTCTCAGAACGGCTCCAGCTCTGACGAATCTGATGAGTAGGTTCTGAACACGTCATCCTCTAGTTCAGTCARCAAGTCTGTTCATGCAAAGCATGCTGATGTGCCTGAATCGTGCTTTATTGTAGGGAGTTGGATGGTAAGGCTTCTGGAGGTGAAAACTCCAGGGATCAGGATAAATGGAACTTCACCATGAAGGAAAAGGACCTCATTCAGCTTCCTGATAAAGTTCAAAATGGAGCAGCTCAGCCTGCAGAGTTAAAGAGGAAGCAGGTACAGTTATATTATATGATGTAGGGAAATGGAAAATGTCGTAGTTTCTGTTTTTTATCAGTTTAAACATGTTCAAGTGCGTCTCCGTTTGTTTCTTTGTTTTAAAATATTCCTCCTTTCAGGTCCAGGAATGTCCAAAGCCCTCCCCATCACAAAGCCTGTCATCAATATTCTCTCCATTATTTTCCGAGGTAATACAATCACAGACTTAGTGATTAGAAGAAATGGCTGCAATTGATAACGATGCCATTAAAATGTCTGTTTGCAGCTGAAAGAAAAGGGTGAGACGAGTAATGGTAAGCCTGAAACTGCCGAGGAGCTGAGGAAGGCTATTTTCCTGGCAGATGACATGCATCCAGGGATCTGTGACTCTCTGGTGGCTGAACTACTGCAGAGACTTCAGAGGTAAATCCTCTTCTGAACTTTTTTCTTTTAAGGACAGTTGTTGGATCAGAATGTAGTTAATATCAATTTTAAATATTGAATTAAATATGTTTGAATGACAGCTGGAAACACCACTAATAGTGACTCGAAGGTTTGAATCAAGTCCATTGAGTCCATTTATGAGTCCCCCTGCTCGTGTTCCTCCATCATCCCTCTCACCGTTCCGTACCATAGACACAGAGGATTTCCTGGTCCACAGTGACGACTGGCTCTTCAGCTGTTTTCAGCTTCCCAGAATAATCCTTTTGCAAATGCTGCGTCCGGTCTGGGAGCAGGTCACAACGACGAGCCGTGCGCTGCCTGTGCACGTGCAGCTGCTGACGCTGAGGTTCCACAGGGGCATTCCAGAGYTGGCAGACCCATCAGGACTGTGCCAACCCACTCTGAGCCGAGCCAAGCTGAGCCATGCCAGCTGAATGGGTCGGCCTCATCCGTGTGATTCTGAAAAATAAATCACCAACACCACTTTGTACATGAGACCCCTGGCCATTCACTGAATTCAGCAGTCAGCTGATCTAGACAAGAGCATATTAGAGTTTAGATTTATAACCTGAGCCTGACCCAAATTTGGATTGACGCTGAAATTATATGTTTGAAGGTCGGTTTAGGTTTCTGTGGCACATTTTCAATAAGCCTACAATAGCCACAGCATAGAGAGAACTCAGCAAAAACTCATGATCTGAAGTTGTGTTCATCTGCTTATTAGCCTGTAGTCTAAGTCAGGGGTCTGCAACCTTTACGATTAAAAGAGCCGTTTGTGCTCCTTGTCTCACTAATAAAATGTGTCCAGAGCCGCAAAACAAGCTACAACTAAGATTATCAACTGCTGGTCCGTGGGCCTTTTCCGAGGTCTTTTCGGGAACCTTTACGGTCAGTGTAGGTGACATTATAAAACTAAAAAAATATTGTTAATATTATATTATTGTTTATTATTATGCACGTCAGGACAAATAAAAAGACCGTATTCATGTAAACAAACAAGAAAAATACTGTATATTGTTTATACCGAATTTCATAAAAACTAGTACAACTGAATTATTCAGGTATATTTTTTTCTAATGTAGTCTTCAAACTATTTAAAGGTAATTCTGATGGATTTGAGAGAAAGATCATAAAAAGAAATTGAAATATTTAAGTAAACAACAAGCTAACATGAGCTAACATGTTTTACTTCTTATATTAGTAGTATTGATAACATTTTAAAATACAAATTGATTTCTGTTGTGGGTACACCCCCCTCCCCCCCAAAAAAAATTCTGTTATGTTTGGTCACATTTTCAAAGAGCCACATGTGGCCCCAGAGCCGCAGGTTGCAGACCCCTGGTCTAAGTTTACCCTGTTGAGGAAAAAAAGAAAGGAGGAATCGGAGGAGGAAAAACTTTTTTTTTTAACCATGGATGTCAAGCGCATGTCGTCAATCAGCTCTTCAAAGCTGCTCATCTTACTATTTAACAACCAGCTCCAGCTGTTGGATTGGACCGGACTGTTCTCAGCATCATGAAGCTTGTGCTGCTGCCCTGTAGTCATTGCTCTGCAGCCACACACACACCCACAGGTGTGTGTGTGTGTGTGTGTGTGTGTGTGTGTGTGTGTGTGTGTGTGTGTGTGTGTGTGTGTGTCCCTGCATTGGTTAAAAAAATTCTGAGGTCTGTATAAAATTAGGGACAGCATTTTATATGAGGATCTGATTTTTCTAGTTTTTTAAAGCTAAAATAAAAATGGGGATAAAATTAAACCCGCATAAGCTACGTTCGCACTGCGTCTCAAATGCATCATTATTTATTTATTATTATTTGCCCAATGCAACTATCTGATTTTTTTTTTCACGAGAGTCTAAACATCATCCATGTTTAGCTAACTCTGTAAACAAACAGCCAACTCAGTGTGACGTCACGTCTTTTTCTGCTCATGTGGGTCACATCGGTGATGTGTAGAGTTCACACTGGAGTCTGATGGAGGTYACATTAAAAATATAATGTGAATATTTGCTCCAATTCTAAATAAAAAAATCTGAATTAGATTAGATAGATTACCATAATTTTCCATGATCACAGGGTTACATAACTTATCAGCTGAAACATRCAGTAATTGTTCAATGGGAGCTCTTACTATTATAGTTAAATTCAGGTGATGACTCTTTAATTTATTTTTTATTGTTTTGCCTGGGCAGTGTACATGAACATAAAATCATCTGGATTACTTCACTGAATTTATCATGATGTGTTTTCCTTTGTGAACGCTGCTTATTCAGCTTTGAATATCTGCTGCAGGCTCAGGAGTGAAATAAATTCAAATTAAAAACAAAACAGCCATGTGCCTCAAGGAAACAACAGTCCTGCCTTGAACAGGTCAACACGTGTCATTACTTGATCTGCAGTGCTAACATGTGTAAAAATATAGTTGGCTTGAATCTGTAAATACTAACATGTCTGATGTTTGACAGGTTTTCTGTGCCGCAGGCCGCTCAGTGACAGGAGGAAACATTCCAGTCTGTTCTACCTTCACACCCTGGTGGCAGCAGTCGGATCTTTCCTTCTGACCTCCAAAGCTGAGATGAAGTCTCCTGAGAAGGTCTCCGTCACTCGTTAGCCTGAAGCTACTCCCGGCCTAGTTACCGTCTGTTCGTATGCGACGGCAGCACCAGAGGGTTCTGTTCAGGCCGGTCAGTGGTTGCTCATTCAGCTGCCACCTGCTGTATGACGTCTCATCTGTGTACCTCTTTCTCAGCTGCTTGGTTTTGAGGCATAACTTTTTTCTTTTTTTTCTTTTTTGGAGGGAGGGTGTATAAATTTTTGGCTTTTTCCCACCAGGGTTTACACTCCTTGTTGGAGAAAGTTCCCTGCTTAATTAATGGTGTGCTTGTGCGTGTGGCTGTGAAACGTGCGGTGAAGAGTGACGAGTGGTTTAAGGCGTTCAGTTGAAAACTCAGGTATTCTGCTTTAAGTAGATTGGGTCCTCTGGGAGATGGAAGGAGCTTTAACAGGGTGGTTGTACAGACTTGTAAATAAGCTAATTTCTACAGATTTCAGAGAACATAATAGGCTGTTTGGAACGAATGTGTTTAAGAAAACAAATGGCCGATTGAAAAGTAGAGGTAGTGGTTGTCATGTTCACGTAAGATTGCCTTGCCTTTGTCTTTGGTCTTTTATATTTGTCATTGATTTTTATTTTTTTTTGGCTTCAGTTTTAAACCCTTTTAAGTTATCATCCTGCGAATGAAAATGGCCACCCCCTCTATCATGCTTTGCTTTTGATTTGCCATAACTTCGCTTTGACTTCTTTGGATTCACACTTTCTGCAGTGGCTGGAACAATGTAGTAGAATGTAAAAGCTGGCTGGATGCTTTTGTTTTTCCAGCCTTCATTCCATAGCGGGTGGGGTTTTTTGTATTTGTGTGTGTCTGATTGCTCAGATAAACTGAGGTTTCGTCCATTCATTCCATTTATATGGCAGTGCCATCATCTAGTTCATAGATCAGCAGACTCTGTCAGTCTTCCTAGGAGCTGCAGTGGTACAATCTCCTCAATGTACCTACAGCTTTAATTGCACTTCAAGTATAAATAAATGCCTTTGACTATAAACAAAGTAGCCATAAAACAGTAGCATGACACTTGCAGATCTTTGCTTCATATTACAGTTTGGGGACAAAGTCAGCCTGAGCTCCCACACCTTCGGCTCTGGGTTTTGTCATGCAGAGTAATATTTGCCTTGTTGAATATTTCTATTTGGGGCTTGTGGGAGGTTTTCTAGTTGCTCAGTAAATGCATGACAACTTCTCACACATTAGATAACACTGCTGTCAGGTGTTCATATTAAAGCCATAGTTCATGTCTTCTATAGTGGGGTTCTGAGATGTTTTGTTTAGTTAATATCTTACATGTTGAAGATAGGTAAGGAAAAATGTAGAGGAATAAAGTTTATTTCTGACCAGATAAATGAGTTAGACACACTTATAGTTACAATCCACTAAAGGAGAATCTAAGCTCCACTAATGTTAAACTGCTAAATAGATTAAAAAAATAAAATGGTGGAAGCCAATGCTAACCGCTAAAACGTCTCCATGTCAGTGTGTCCCTCACTCTGTGGGTGTGATTGTGAGCAGATCGTCAGCACTAAACTTCAACCGTTGTGGTGAAAAAGACTAAAAGCCACTGTGGTTTTAATCCTCCGGTAGTCTGACCTTTTTTTTTGTCACGGCACAGTTTATCAGTGCACGTGTAACTGTGGGCGGTCGCAGTTTGTCTGAAGCCTCCCAGGCTATCTGCTCTTTTTAGACGGCTCCGTCCAGCTCAAGCTGTGTGCGCTCGTCTCCTTCACCTCGCTCCAAGTTCTGCCTCGACTCTGCCAATCTTCAGGCAGAGGTCTGCAGACGTTAAAATCATAAGCACTCAGTGCTCTGTGTCCCCTGCTTAGAACCACCTCAGAGGTGGTTCTGAAAGCGCAGTTGGAACCGGAAAGGGAGACGCCTTTGGCCGAGACTGAACCAAGAAGACACACATACTGGGGTTGAACTCAGAAGGTTCTCAAACTGGGTTCCAGGACCCCCAGGGTCCATGAGCTATAGCTTGAGGGTCCCCAAAATAAATTTCTGTTAATTATTAAATTTGGCATTTCATTTTAAAAAGTGCATATTTACACATAAGGACCAATAGGCCAGTAAACAAACAAAACTTCACAAAAAAAAAAACATTTCCATGGCATTTAGTGGTTGAAATAATTTTTAATCATCATTATGTTTTTGAAGGAGTCCCTGGAAATGTCTCTCCTCTGAAAGGGGTCCCCAGACCCAAAGTTTGAGAAACCCTAACTGTTTCCAAAGCTGGCAAAAAGCTAGTTCACTAAATGAGAAACTGAACTGTGCCCACCACAGCTTTCCACTGAACCCCACCTCCGATGACCTGAACTAAGGCTTTAGCACAAAGCCAAGAGGTTTTCAGAGACCAGCTGCACTGTTACTCCTGACTGTAGTTTTAAAGGAATGTGCATGATATTATTACCAATATAAAGCCTATAGTTTGGCCTGAGCAGTATGCGTTGTAGCATACTGGAGCAGGATCCAAAGAATGTTGAGTCCTGAACACAGATAAAACAGCCTTAWAGTATTTGTCATAAATGGGAGGAATATTGTTATCCTTAAACATTTTAGATCAAATGTTTGTTTTTCTGTGACGTCTGTGTTTTCACCCCTCCTGCATTAAAATGCACATGTAGCTGTTCTTTACCCAAGACATCATAAAARATCAAAAGTTGTTCATTTTATTGAATAAACATTTTTTGTATTTGATTTGCTTACAAGGTGGTGTAAAGAAAATAGGTTTTTATTTTATTTTAAATATCAGGAGTCAAGCAGGTGTTTRAGAGCGAATTGTGCAAGTTAAAGGAACAGTTTAAAGCTTTTTCATTCCATAAGTAAAACTTTATCAGGTTCGTATTTGGTTCAAACCGGTGATAATTGCCTTTATGTAAACACTTTTACAGCAGATGTTTTCTATCTTAATAGTTTAGCATTTACCGGTGTTTRCAATGCTGTGCAAAAGTCTTAATTCATCTTTCTTTTTTTGCGTTTTGTCTCCAAGGACTTAGACTTCACTTAACAGACATTTAAATCACAAAAAGGATCYGAAACTTCGAAGGTGGTTTGAAACTTTTGCACAGTACTCTGCATCATATCTATAATATCYCTCTTCATTCTCTGTGTAATAAGACGCCCACGAGAACATCACTTTTAGAAATGTGTTGAAATAATTTTTAAGTTCTGAAATTTATAAGAAAAGCTGCAGTTTGGTTTGTGTCAGTCACTCACAGTAGCTGTTAAATCCCATCTCTTTCAACATTTTATATCCTGGTAAAACTAAATAAAATGAGAGTTCACTTATAAACATTTTTAGCTGTGCTGATTTTTATTTTTAATAGATGAGAGGATTCTTGAAATGTTTGTTTAACTTGTAAAAAATAAACAGACTCCTTTCTTTTATCGTCACCAGTCACCTCCCAGCTGGGTGAAAAGAGTTTTACATTTCTGTGAAAAATGCCTCTTCATTTCAGCTCGTCATGTGAAATCTGCCATGGAAGTGCTCTGCCCCTCTGAGACGAAAGCAGCACAGTTTGCACCTTTCACACGGTCTGATATGGATCTGTTTAAGTGTTGCACTTTTTCTATGTTCTTATTTTTGAGTTTTGAACAAAGTGGTACTTAATGTTATTATGCTGCAGTTAAATCTTATGTTTGTTGTCAGTGTCCTGATACAAATTGGCATAAATCCATTTATTTTTTTATACCCCGTAGAGAGCAGTATTATGTATCAGAGGAAGGAAAAGTTTGTGACGTGTTCAACTTTTATTTGACACTGGAAAGCAATCGTTTTTAAGAWTAAATGTACATTTTGTTTTGTGTGACTTTGCTGGCAGTTTGTAGTCCAGTGTCCATGTTTGCTAATTCAAGACAGTGCTGTTAGATTTACTGAAAGCTGTCAAATGATTAAGAACAAAAAATAAAATAAAAGTTCTGTATAAAACGGAGCTGTCCTGTAGTTTGCTTGTCTGTATACAACTTTTAAAACTGTCCTGCTTATGATAAATTTTCTTTTTTTTATTTAAAACTTTATTAATTTCTTTAAACAAAATTAATACTATGTACAATGAAAAGAAAACACAAATGTAATGAAATGAAAGGCAGCAGAGAAGAAAAAATCTCTGCTCCTTTTTTACTCAAGTATAAACTCAAAAAAATTTACTTTTTGTTTGGTAACAGTGCAGAAAAGAATCATGTTTTATTATTAGCTACAGTTTTTATTGATTGTTTTGATGCAGCCGTCAACTCAAAATCCACATTTTCAAAATAGTTAACTCAGAGGCCTAAACATTGCCACAGTGGTCAAAATGACACATTTTGTTTGCAAATGGCAATAACTGTGACAAAACATTTAAAATATGGAACAAAAGCAAACTTTGCCTTCAAACAACTCAACTTTGACACATTGTATGAGCACCTCCAAACAATCAGTACACAATGGGCAAAAAAATACAAAAAACAGCAGTCATGTGTGAATCAGTGCACCATTGCTTGTCATTGTAGCCTATGACTGTACGTAGCTTGTATGCCAGTTTGTAGTCAAATTTGCTCTCTTGCAAAAAATGCATCCAGAAGCCAATATGGTTTGATGCAAATTTTATTAATTACATTCTTTTTTTCAGACTGCATGATAAATGAAATATTCCAACAGAGAATACATGGAAATAAAAATAAAATCCTTTACTGTGTGAGTAATTATGTAAACAAAAAACACAGTCTTTTACAGTAAAGAACAAAAATCTATAGTAGGCCTATACTATAAGGGTATAAGAGAACAACACAGGCCTGCAGACTGATTGCAAATTGAAAAATTCTGTGAAGAAGTGTCAAACTGGTGATTTCATACTGATCAGGGAGTTTCTAAGAGTTTGGAGCAGATAGTTTCTGTTCTGTAACCACAGCTAAAACAGAGTTTGGACTTCTTGAATGACATCTGCATTAAGTGTTTTGCAAAAGGGTTGTAAACTGTGTCAATCCAATGAGGATGGGTTAACAACACAAGAGTTGTCTTCTGCTCTGCTGAGATGGTGATGATGAAGACTGAGAGGTTCCCAGTTTCTTCAAACAGGTCAAAGCAATCAAAAACTATAAATTGCAAAAGGAAAACAGTTTTGTCCAAATATAAATTGACAACATGCTATAATATACTTATAGCCAAAATGGCTTTAATATATTCTATTTTTTTAATTCATTTACTTACGATTCAATTCTAAGCAGTATTTGTATCCAAACACTTACAGAATCACTTCCTTTTAAATTAAACAAATTCTGCATTACAAACAAAATATAACATGTGTGACACCACAACCACATTTTTTAAGTCACTTTATATT